TCACGAGTTACTTACAAATGGTTATGATCATACTAAAAATATTTTAGTTAATGATTTACATTCAAATATTATTACTTGCTCTTTAACTACTGACCTATGAACAGCTCGTAGTCGTATGGGATATATTGGAATTACTTGCGTATATATTAACAAACAATTTAAATTAAATAAAGCAGTTCTCGCAATTAAATATGTGCCATATCCTCATAATAGTAAACAATTGCTGAAGAAATTCAAAATATTATAGACGAATGGAATTTGACTGTAAAGTTTTTACGATTATCACTGATAATGGTAGTAACATGGTAAAAGCTGCACGATTAATTCCTGGTTTGGTTAGGATACCATGTACTGCTCATACACTTCAGCTAGTAGTAGAAAAAGGTCTTTTATCAGCAGAAGTATTAATTGCAAGAGCTAAAAGGCTTATGTTATTTTTTACATCCCCAAAACAAACAGAAAAGCTTATAGAAATTCAAAAAAGTATGAATCGAACTGTTGGAGAGGTAAATTTTTAAATAAAATATTTAATTTTAATAATTAATAATTTAGCGTTAGATTATTAGTTAATATAAGCAATATTTTTTTTAGCGCAAAAATTGAAGACAATATTATTTAATGCTAATAATTAACTAATTAACTAATAAATTATAATATTTAACAGAATCTCCAAGAAAATGACCATTATCTTCGAATTATTGCTGATGTGAAAAAAGGTGGAACTCATCTTATCTTGCTTGGAAGCGTTTAATTGTAATAAAAGATTTTATTACAGCTAATTTCATAATTCGTGGACCACTAATAAATTGCGACTGAATGCGACTGAAAATATTTTATAATAAAATTACTATAAAATATTGCGACTGAATGCGACTGAAAAATTATTAATGGTCCATGAATTATGAAATTAGCTGTAATATTATGGTAACAACACTTTGTATGGATTCAGATAGGCAAGCAAAAAATGATGGAAAACATCTCAAAAAAATCAATCTTACTGAGGATGAATGGAACGCAATCAGTGAACTGATTCCAATTCTTGAATCCTTTGCTAATGCAACTGAATTTTTGGGCGGAAGTAAATATGCAACTGTCAGTTTTATGTACCATGCAATTAATATTATTAAGGAAGGTGTTAAACCAAGTGAATCTGATAGAAATCAAGAAATCGAAGTTATTGATTTTACTATGCCAAACACAGCATTTGATGATGATATTAGGTATGAAGATGTGGATGATGATGAAATTGCTAATGACCAATTAAAAAAATAAAAAATCAAGATTAATACATCACAAGATTGTAAAAATCTAATTTCAAAAGTCAAAAAGTCATTATACGAATCAATTACCTATTATTGGAAAGTTCCAGAAGATTATGGATTAATTGCAACATTGTTAGATCCCCGTTGCAAATCTTTATCTTTTGTATTTCCAGAAGTTTGTAATAATATTCATTCTAAATTAAGATTAATTTATAATGGATTACAATTGGATTATGGTGAGCAAGATAAAGAATACCACAATGAATGCTTAACAAATTTGTTACTGACACGTATGATTAGTAGAAGGCATAAACGTGGTGATGAAGTTACTGAATATTTAAAGATCGAAGAAATTAGTTTTTCTGAGTGTCCTTTTGATTGGTGGTGCAAGAATGAAAATCGGTTTCCAGTTTTATCAAAAATAGCACACAAATATTTGGCAATTCCAGCAACTTTCACACCAAGTGAAAGACTGTTCAGTAATGCTGGTAATATCATGACAGTTCGACGTACTAGCCTCTTACCTTCAACATTTGAACATCTCTTATTTTTGAAACGTAATTGGAGTTTGGTTAGATCTATCTTTTCTGAAAAATAAATTTAAAGGAGTTTTGATAACTTAGGAATTTATAAATAGTTGTCTAAAGTAACAAAATTCTTAGAATTCTCATGCGCAAAAAAATTATTGTGAAACATTGAATTAGTAAAATTAGTTACAAATTATCATAATAAACATAATAAACTAATTTTTTTACATAAAATTTAATTCTATTATTTTTTTATAAATTATTTATATTATTATCCAATATTCGTTAATATTCGCACAGGGCATATCGGTTATTTTGAGGTTAGAAACGGATTTTCATCCGATTAAGAAATTTGTCAAACGGATGTGATTCGTACAGATCAACAGATCACCGATTCTGACCACTAACTTTAATTTAGGTAGTGTAGATTGACTTAAAGGTATATCATTTGTTATTAAATAGTCATTAAAAGCATTTGATTGTTTCATGTTAATGAATTAAAAATTTTTTTTGGTAGTCATGCAACCGATCAGCCACCTCCTTTATTTGTTAATTGATCATTACTAAAAAGTACTAATTCGATTTTTAATTAGTAAACTAGAATGGTAATTTGAGATTGTCCAATATATTCTTTTTTGTAAGTCTTGATAATAGTACTTTGTAAGAATAAATTTCATATTGCTTGTCTTTACAGGTTATTATTTATTATCAATCATTGAAATCTTTAAAATTTTTTTGAGATGATTAATTTCACATCACAGTTTTTCTTTTATGTAGAAAATTTATTTTGTTTTTTTATATACTGTATTTAATTAAGTAAAGCAAATTAACGTAACGTACTTGTTAAATATCTTTAAATTGTTGTAATTGGTAACTTGTAATCCATTTGAGAAATCAAAGGAAAAATAAAGATTCTTTGATAATGGATCAAATGTTTCGAACTTTTATTTTTAAACTGATAAGAAAAAATTTATATTAATTACAAACCTTATTTCAAATTTTACATATTTATTAACAATGAATTAAAGAGATATTTTTCCATATTCGTAAGGGTGAGTGATCTGCCCAAGAGGTTACTTTAGAAAAGATTTCAATTAGTATGATAAAAAAAAATTTTAAAAAATAAAAATAAAACTCAATAAAAATACACACCGAGGAACTGACACATGTTTTTTAAGTATTGTTTTTTATAGAAGACGATCCAACATTTTAAATATTGAAAAAAAAAGATAGGAATAAATAAAATTTATAAGAGTGAAGGGAGGGAAAGGATAAAGGAACAAAAAGATGGAAATTTTCGTGAGTTTACAAAAGTATTTATAATAAAATTTATGACGCGTAATGTGAAAGTTTTTTTTAAATGATCTAAAAATAAATTATTGATAAATCTAATGCGTAATGTTGGAATGTTTAAATTATTCATTTGACTAATTGACTAAAATAGAAGCAGCCTTAATGACTCATTAAATTTTATCATTATGATGACGAGAAATTTAACCTTATTTTAAAATAATCTGACATCGACTAAATATTATTACTAATATCACGATTAAAGGTACTTCTTTTGAAATTATGCTGCCAACGAAAAACATAATCTAATAGAGACTATATTATATGACTTTTAATTTTAAACTAGTAATCAAGTTTTTTTTTAAGGATCACTAATCAATAGGTTTCACCTGTTTCCCAGCCTCCATTTATATAATAATATTTAAATTCAAACTAAAAAAATTCTTTAATGTTTTTTTTATTTGAAGCAAACCATATTCAAAGAATTGTCTCATCAATAAGCTGAGCTTTATTTGACATGCTTGTTCTTCAAGCTGATCAAAAGGACTATCTGTATAAACATTACAGACTACCTTGGTAGATACAAATAATTCAACCGCTCACAATATCCCATATGCCTTATCTGATGGTAACATCATTTGTGGATGGCCCGATAATCAGTAACAGGTAATACATAACATAATTAAGAAATTCGCTCACAAGGCTATAATTAAGAAAGGTACAAATAGAATGATTAAAAATCGAGTTTTAAAAAAATATAATAATAAAAAAAAATACATTATTCACTTTTTAGTAATCTTAGTTTCTGTGTGTAATTCAGAACAATTAATTTTTCTTCCAATTATTCAATCATATTAATTCTCTTAAATGGTAGAATAAACAAGTTTATAATCTCATGTGATATTCTTGACAGCATTTATTCAGTAATTCCATCAAATCACGTATGGTATATAAAGTTTGACTGTAGTAAATTTAGGATTATATTTAAAATAAATTCCTTATAGATTTTCTAACGATTTCATATACAGTAAGAATCTTAAGTTATAATTCTGGTTGACTCAAAAAGAAAGTTTGAGATCATTATGATGAGTAGTAAATGGTTTAATAATAGCTACACCAGCAATCATATTCATCATTGGAGTTTCAATCTAATATAAATAAAACTAGAAATTGTGAATAGTAGAGGACTTCATTACCACCCAACTTATAGATCTACTCCATTTTTTATAATCTAGTGTTGCTTCTTAACAAGCATTTTCAAAATTTTCATTTTTGATAATTTTTATATGCATAATTTTTATTTTTATTATTATTTGATGATACTGTATCAAATGTGATATGTGATCAAAAATCAGTAATATACAACTAAACAAAAATTTTACTATGTGAAATGTTAGATTAGAACGTCTAAAAATCTTATAAAATTGTTTCTTTTTTTTGAGATTTATTCTTGTATAACAATTTTTGTGCAAATTAAAAATAATATAATAGTAATTATTAGAATTTCTTTTTTTAAGTAAAAAAACTTATTTCCTTTTATATATTTTGTAGTAATATATATTTGAAATGTCAAGTATAATCATATTATAAAAATCTGTTTTAATGATTCTTTATATATATATTACCTTCGAAAAAATATCTGATTAACAAAATAATATTTTATTATTTAAAATTTTTGATATAAATATACAGTGGTGGTTAAAAAAAATGCAATTTTTAAAATTATGATAGTTATATAAATATTACACTAATTAAAACATATAATATATTATTTTAAAGCTAATAAGTGATAAATTGTATTTAAAAAAAATTATGGTATTTATTTACTATTTTTTTTCTAATAATCCTATTATAATATCATAAATTAAATTTATAAAATCAATTAGAAGGCTTTTTTGTATTTATTATTTTTTACT